TACTGTTTGCATAGAGTATCTTTTTCCATCCTATACTTTATTATAATGGTATTTTAATCTTTGAATAAACATGTCTCCTATAGATAACATAAAGTTGGATTTTAAAAAATTCATTCTGTCAGTACCTGCCTTTTGATTCAATTGTTTATTCACATTTAATGTTATTAATATAGCTGAATATTGGCCATTTTACCTTTTGTTTTACAGATTCTCATGTATATTTACTCCTTTATTGCTTTCTTGGGCATGAAATTAATATATTTTTTTATTTTTTATTTTTTTATTGGGGAATTGGGGGTATGGGAACAGCGCTGGGGAATTGGGGGAAGGGGAACAGACAAGTTGCTGTCCTTTTGTTCTTCAGTCTAGTTGTGGAGGACGCTGCTTCACTGGCCCAAATTAGCACCATCATTGCGCTCTTCCTGGGCGAGGCAGATCAGTTGCCGGCTTCTGGACGGCCGCTCACTGCGGCTGCTGGCCGCTCACGCTGGCTGCTGGCTACACACGGTAGCCCATGGCAACCCACTGCCACAGGGGCGGCGCCTACGCCATCGCTGGCGACTCACAGCAGCCCAGCTCCAGGTTGAGCTGTTGTTCAGCATCTTAGCTGTGGAGGGCAGTGTCACTGGCCCTCATATGTGGGATCCGAACTGGGGCCCTCTGGCGTCCCAAGCCAATTCTTAACCATCGCGCCACTCGGCCGGCCCAATATTTTTAATGTAACATTTTAATTTCTTTAATTTTTTAAAACTTTTTTAGTCATTTCCTTAGTGGTTGGTTGATATAGGGCCTACTATATAGATTTTAACAGAATATGCTTTAGAGTTATACTTATTTCCAGTGAGATAAAGAAACATTACTCCTATATAGCTTATTCTCTTCCCCCCTTTTTATGGTATTATTGTTACACATATTACATCTATATGTTACAGAACCAACAATACATTGTTATAACTATTACTATGTAATTTTATCTTCTAAAGACGGAGAGAAGAAAGAAGAGTAAGCATATACTTACAGCTTTTGTCAGCCTTCTTATTTACTATTTCTAGTTTTGTTAATTTGTTTCTGTGTATATGGAGTTCTTTTCTTAGTTCAGTACAGTTTTGCTCCCACTCACCACCTTTGAGCTGTTATTGGCAAATGTATTGTTGGCCTATAACATAGAAATATATTTCTGCACATTGTTTTATACGGCTGCTTTTAAAATTAGTTAGGAGAGGTTGTATCAGATAGATGATTTGCAAATGTTTTCTCCTATTGGTTAGGTTGATTTTTCATTTTGTTGATGGTTTCCTTTGCTGTGCAGGAGCTTTTTATAGTTTGATATAGTTCCACTTGTTTATTTTTGCTTTTGTTGTGTTTGCTTTTGGTGTCAAATCCAAAATGTCATTGCTAAAGCTGATGTCCAGCAGCTTACCAGCTATGTTTTCCACCAGGACATTTTTGGTTTTAAGGTTTACATTCAAGTCTTTAATTCATTCTGAGTTGATGTTTGTGTATGGTATTAAATAGGTGTCCAGTTTCATTCTTTTGCATGTGGCTATCCAGTTTTCCCAACACCATTTATTAAAAAACTGTCCTTTCCCCATTGTATATTCTTGGCTCTTTTGTAATAAATAGACTATATATGTGTGGGTTTATTTCTGGACTCTCTATTCTGTTCCATTGATTTATGTGTCTGTTTTTATGCTGTTATCATACTGTTTTGATTACTACAGCTTTGCGATATAGATTAATATCAGGAAGCATAATACCTCTAGCTTTGATCTTCTTTCTCAATGTACTTTGGCTATTAGTTGTCTTTGTGGTTCTATACAAATTTTAAAATTGTTTGTTCTATTTCTGTGAAAAATGCCTTTGGACTTTTGATAGTGGTTGCATTGAATCTGTAGATTGCTTTGGGTATAATGGACATTAAACAATATTAATTATCCCAATCCATGAGCACAGAATATCTTTCCATCTGTATCTTCAATTTTTTTTATCAAAGTCTGATAGTTTTCAGTGTACACAAGACTAATTTTGTAATGATGTTGTTAACCTAATAATGATGTCTTTATATTTATAGTTTTCACATTTCTTTTATCAGTACTTTTTTTTTATTCTGTTCTTTGTCTCTATCTTGGGGTTTTGCATATTTTATTCTGTCTCAGATCTTTGCAAAATGAACCAAACATAAAGTCTTTAGGAGTTTTTAAGATACACCTTTCTCTTAAGTTACATCAAGTGTCTTCTAAACTTTGTTACTTCTTACTACCCTCTTGTGATGGAGGCTAATGACAACTCTCCTGGTTTCTGCAGTTGGTGGGAATAATGAGATACTTGTTCAGTGATTTTTTTTCTAAGTAGGGGATTAGCGAGTCATTTATCTGTGGGAAAACACCTTGTAAATATTAAATGATCGTGATGGCAGGGCCATTAATTCTATCTAGGTCTCCTGCCTCCCATGTTGGTGCTTGTTTCAGTGAGTTCATAGTTGCTCAGGTGTTTCAGATTATAATCCTCATTTACATCAAGCTAGTTGCTTTGCCCAGTTTTACATTTTTGCCGTATGTTATATGGACATACTCATTTTTGCCATATGAGTATGTTCAGAAGTTTTGTACTAACTAGAGAAGTCTCCCTGAACTCTGTTTATCCAGTGGGCCAATAAAAGAATACCGAATTTTCCCAGATTAACCCCTGCTATAATAGTATTTCCAGCTCTAGTTCTAGCCCCCACATTCTCATTAGTTACAAAGCTATTTTCTGTAGAATGTTCCTGGTATTTGTTATATACATAGCTGATCTCATTCAGTCACATGTCTGTAACCTGCTAGCATCTTTTTGTCCTGAGAAACTTTTAGGAATGGCAGGAAACCTCTAGGTTTCAGGCAATCTTTGCAATGTTTCGATTATAAAGTTGATTGTCCTTTTTTTTTTGGTGCTGTCAAGGTGGCTTATGATGATATTTGAGGGCTGAGAGTGATCTTGAAAGATCAGTTACTCCGGCATTTCATGAAAACTTATGAAATTTGATTCAGGTAGATTAGTTACTAGTGTTAAATCTGTTTGAATGGTTGATGGGAAACTAGAAATTTGTAATGGACCAAAATAATACCACACAGACCAAAGTACTAGATAGAAGGGGAAAAACATATCTGTACAGTGGGTAGGTCAGTCTTTACCCAAACCCATTGGTTTATCTTGGCATTACTTATGTTGGCTCAGCTATTTATCATCTGTTATTTGATGAGATATAACATAAGATTTAGAGCATCATCTATAGCGTATTTTGGCTAAAAAAATATTACTCTTGACTCCACTGGGCATTTAGATTTTCTCTTTAGATTTTTTAATCTGATATTTCCTATAAACTAACCTATAAACAAATATTACAAGGAAGCAGCCAGACAGAAGATGATCCTTCTGTAATCTACCTGCACTGGTCTCTTCAATAAATCAATGTCATAAAAATAGAGATTGTGCTAGATTCAGACTTAAGCGGCAATAGTGAGACACAGTGCATGGTCTTGAATAGGATACTGGCTTGGACAAATCGTCTGTAAAGAAAATTTTTGGGGTCAGGAAATTTGGAAATAGTCTGGATGTTACATGAAATAAATTAACTGAAATGAGGAGGTGGAGAATACTGTTGAGAAATCTGGTTATCAAAAAAATATATATATAAACATAGATAGAAAAACCTGGAAGTACATGAATTAAGGTGTCAGTAGTGGTACTTTCAGGTGATGGGAATATGCGATTTTCATTTATTTTTTGCTTGTCTCTCCCTCATAATTTTTCTGCAAAGCACATGTCCTGTTTCTGTGTTAATAAAAACTTATTTTAAAAAAAGTCTATACTAACCCATCCTGTATAGATGACTTGTTTTAGGATATTTCACAAGTTTTTTTCTTGATAAGGATTTTATGATTGTAGGGATACTTTTTTGAAATGTGTCTTTAGATTCTACATGCATCTCTCTTATTTAAAATTTAATTTTTTATTATTGAAAATGTTAAACACATATAAAAGTAGATGGAATAATATAATGAATTTTCATGTGCCCTATCAGCCAGCTTCAGCAGTTACCAGTTATACCCAGATTATTTCATCTCTACCCACCTTCCTCTCCACCCATATTTCTGATGCAAATCCCACATGTCATATCTTTTCTTCCATAAATAGTTCAGTATTTATTTTTAAAAGATAAAAACATGAAAAGTAAAACAATACTGGTATTGTACCAAACAATAAATAAATAAAACAATATCCTTAATTATAGCAAATATGTAGTCAAGAAATGCTCACATTTCTCCAATGGTCTCATAAGTAATTTTTCTCTAGTTACATTGTTTGACTCACAGTACAATTAAGTTGCTGACATCACACCTGGTTATGTCCATTAAGCTTTTTATAGGTTTCTTCCTTCTCCTCCATTTTTTCCCCTTGCAATTTATTTGTTGAAGAAACTAGACCTTTTAGCTTTTGTAATTTCTCACATTCTGCATTTTTCTTCATGCTCTCTTAAGCGTTTAATGCCAAAGACTGGAAATTGTTCTCTAGAATGCATCTCGGCAGGGTTACCATTTAGAGCTTATAATGTAACATATTCATGGAGGGTCTTTGCAAAACCTGAAAATTGAAAGAGTTGATTTTCATCGTACAGTCCTTTGAGTTGAAGTGAAGACTTAGTCTTGATTATTTCAATAAGATGAAACAACTATTGAAATAGGATACGCTGGGATAGACTTGAGAGATATCACTTACACCAATTTTTAAGTAGGAACTCACCAGATTTCCATTTCAAAGCTAAATGAAAACTTCACTATGAAAGTTTATTGTGGTATAATGGGATTATCTTGAAATATCTAATATCTTCAGAGAGCTTGGTCTATAAATGTGCTCTTTATTGAAATACCTAGGTACTATTTTTTTGGTTTTATTTTACAGCTAAGGCTACTAAGGTCTAGATTTACATTGCCTGCTTATTGATTTGTCTCTAATGATTGCAGGTTGAAGATGACAGTGCTGCAGACGCCAATGGAGAAGAGAATGATGAACGGGGAAATTATTCTAAAAGAAAGATAGTCTCTAACTGGGGTCGATATCAAGATACTGAAAAAGAGGTCAATAATGAAAGTGGAGAATCTCAGAGGGGGACGGATTTCAGTGTTCTTCTCAGCTCTGCAGGTATGAATTCCAATTGCTCATTACACTGGTTAGTGCCATGAAAGTTGCACAGGTTTTTTTTTTTTTAATTTACGTTCCTTTTTAAATTGCATCTTGGTAACTAGCAGCTCATCCTTTGTCCTTTAGATTTTAAATTCAAGTAAAGGACACTGTGTTTAATGGTTTGCAGGGGAAAAAAAATGACATTAAGTGGAAGGCAGGGTTTCTGTGTACTGATGTAGAGTGACTTAAGTTGTAGTTAAAATGAATAAAAGGCTTTATCGGAATGAAAAATGCTGAACTCTGCCCTCTCAATTGGGCAGTCTGAGAGACAGCAGTGTTTTCTTTGATTTCAGAGGAATTGATACTTAATGTTTATACAAAGCCAAAAGTTCCTAGAATATATGTTCTTTTTTTCCCTTATGTCGTAGCCATAAATGTGGATATTAGTGGATATGCATATGTGTAGAGGTATATGCACCTGAACACCAAAACTTTTCTGTTTCGCTTTGGACAGTCTATCAATAAGGTGAAAAACTCATTGCTTCTATGACTAGCTATTTAAGATGGACTTCCATCCTGAGCAACGTGCAACAAGGTGAAGCTGGAGAGTAGTTCCAGGCAGTGATGGAGCAGGGCTGTTGTATAAATGGCTGCTCCCTGTTGGGTGTGGCACAAGAATTTAAAGGCTGAATGGAGGACAGACTGTTGGTTTTCAGGGGTGAGGGATGGAAGGATGGGAGGTGGATGTGGTTATAAAAGGGCAACATGACGGATCCTTGTGCTGCTGGTCATACCTGGATTGTGGTCGTGGGCACACAGACCTGTGCAAGTGATAAAATTGTGTGGAATTTACACACAACATACACACAAGTGAATACAGAGAAAACTGGGGAAGTCCGAATAAGATTGGTGGATTGTGTTAGTGCCAATCTATCCATATCCTGGTTGCGAAATTATACTATGGTTTTGCAAAATGTTATCATTGGGGGAAACTGGGCCAAGCGTATAAGATTTCTCTGTATTATTTCTTACAACTGTATATGAATCTGTAATTCTTTCAATAAAACAATGGCCAGGTTAAAAAAAATTAGAAGGATAAAAATGTGAAAAGCAATGAATAAACTGAAAGTAGTATTTTTAGACAGTTTGTTGTGAATTTCCTCTTCCTCCCAACTTTTATGTTGCTTCTGACGTCTGCCTTTTTGTCCCATCTCCCTGTACTTTTGAGTGCCTATACCAGACTACGAAACATAGAGCGATGAATTCTCTTGCAACCTACTAGTTGGAAAGAAAGACGTAAGTGGAGCGAGTATTAGAGTGTGAGTCACGAGAGCAGATTCAGCCTGGTGGCATCATGTCCAGTGTGCCATACAGCCTCACCACCTCAGGCACAGGTTTGCTGATGGCATCCACTCACTGACTGTTTAAGGACCCGAGACTCATCTTTCTGCCAGTCAGATGAGTATTCTCTTGTTAACTGCATTTTGGCCAATTATGGGTTTAAAAGCACTTTTATTCAAGGTAGGAGGGTAAAATGTGGCCTGGTTAGCTTCAGTTTCTATCAGCTCTTCTAAAAGGTTTAGGGAGAAAATTGAAGTAGTGTAATAAAATTAACATGTGGACTATCTGGATTTAATTGAATCAATTGTGTAGTCAGTTATTCGGACAGTATCAGGCAGTAAAAAATGCTGCATAAATGTTTGAAGGCAACTCAGAATTCTAGTCTAACCCAGCAGTTAGGTGCCTTGGCTTATGGTTTTGTTTATATATCTTAGCTGTTTATTTATAACTTAAAACCTGGCATGGTTTGGGTCCCATAG